AATGGGGCAATTCCCCCCCCCCCCCCGAGATACAGTCGCTCCCACCCGCGTTACCGTACCAGCAGAGGTGGCCGCATTAGGCCTCGTACTCCCGAGGGCCTCGCGGCCGCCTAGTTTGCCATGTCGGCACATCACCTCGCTGGCAGCCATGTAGCGTTATGAGCTCTCAGTGCTTTCACTGTCAGGGCTGACAGGGCTGAGAGCTCATCCGTTTCCTCGGTCGTCGGTCCATCCACTCGGTGCAGCTTCGCCCACCAGCCAATGAGAAGAGACCTCACCCCTCCCATCCACCACACGAGGATCTCAATCTGGCTGGGAGGGCGGAGTTTACCTTCAGAAGCGGTCGGATGAAGACGTCAGCGGCGCCAGCAGGTCCTCCTGCATTCTTCTGCTAGCTCCCGCCCGTGAGAAGCGGCAGCGGCCCTCATATGAGACCCCATTCACACTGAGCGACATGGAAATCGCGCGACTTTGAGCGATATTGCGCGACGAGCGATATTGAGCGACGTGTCGCACGTGTCGAGCTACAAGCGATATTGAGCGATATTGAGTGATATTGAGCGATGAGATGTGAACAGCTACATTGAAATGTATTGGTGAAGCTACATAGAGCGATATCGCGCGGAAATATGAGCGATATCGCTGCAAAAATCGCGCGATAAATCGCTCAATGTGAACGGGGCCTTACTGGTGAGTGGCGGCAGCGACCTTCATGCCTATGTTCCTCGGCTCTATCTAGTGGCAGTAATGTGCTGCAAATATTTGCACAGCTATACGCTGGTCGAACATGTTTAGCAAATCATTCCTTTATTTATAAGAAACGCATACAGTATCTGCATTTTTTTTATCTGCACGGAGTCCAGCTTCAAAGTGCTTTCCACACCTCTGTGCTGGGAAAAGGCATGGCTGCACAAAATCTGACCCAATATTCTGTGATAGGTGCTCCTTGACTTCTGCAAAAGACTGCTTGGAATTGCAGAGTAGTACTGATGCATCAGTGAGAATATATCATATAACTGATGAGTGGCTGCCTTGTGGGGGGGGTCTAAGTCCCGCTCCAGAGTCCAACTCCCGAGTCCCGCTCCTTGCCTCTGCCAACAGCAGGTCCCGCAGTGTAGTGACAGTGTGTGTGACACAACTACATACAGCTGTCCCTCAGTGTCGCAGGTTCTACTGCGGTTCATTGTAAAAAAAAACTTTGTACAATGAACTGCAGTAAAGTTTGTGACACTGAGGGACAGCTGCATGTACCATCGCCGGCAGCCACATCCTGCTATGTGGGTCATTGTGAGGACCCTCTCCTGTGACCCCCTCCCCTCCACTGGCCACCAAGGATGCAGGACAAGAGGTGCTGCAGCCTGCAGGTGTTAGGTGAGGTTGGGGAGTGCATGGGTGATGGCTGGCTTGGGGGGAAAGGGGGGATTGGGGGACTGTAGCTGGGCTGGTGGTATTCAGCATTGATGTATAATGATTATACAGCAATGCTGAATAGACTTGTGCGCCATCAAAAAATTTGTTCTGTTTCGTTTCGTTTCGGAATATCCGTTATTTCGTATTTCGTAATTCGTAACTGAACTCAATTCGGATTCGGATTCGGACGAAATACGAAATTTCGTTAGTGGAGGTTATATTATCTTAACTTTACGAACATTCGTTATGATGAAGTTAAAAAGCAAAATACCTTTGTTAATAATATATTGGAGTGGTAGTTGTTTTTTTTATCCGAAATACATAAGTTCAAGAGTATTGCTGGGAGCTGTAGTCTCCTATAGCCGTGACTATTCTGCATTTCTTTAGAGAGTATTGCTAGGAGTTCTAGTTCTCTATATCCGTTACCATTCTGCATTTCTGTGGAGAGCAGTGCTGGGATTTGTAGTCCTGTATAGCTGGTGGTATTTTACATTGCTGTATAATGTATTGCAGAGACTTGTAGTCCTCTATAGTTGGTGTTACTGTATACAGCATTGCTGAGATTTGTAGTCCACTATAGTTGGTGGTATTCTGCATTGCTGTCTAATGTATTTCTGGGTTTTGTAGTCCAAGATAACGGATGGTATTGGTGTGTATATATATATATATATTGACCGTTCTGTAAGCAAAACTTTATTTCTTTATTTTCTGGCAGTGCCCCCCCAAGAATAGACTCTGGATCCGCCCCTGTTATGAGGGTCTGCGTGTGTGCAGGTATGAGGACTAAGATTTGTGCAGGTGAACGGTATGCATGTGGCACTCACAGTAATACAGTAATATTCCTGGCGATCCTTCAGCTCCTTTCACTTTTTTGTACTCTTGTCAACCTAGCGAAATCAGAGGTGAAATCTGCATATCGGGCATGGTGCAGTAAAAGCCTCAGTAAATCCTCCAGTTGGGCAGGCGAGTGAGAAAGCCCGCTCCTGTCCGACGGGCTGGCAGATGAGTCAACTTCCAGGCAGGAGCTGGGGCAGACCGATTTGAAGACCTCCTCAGCACGCCTCTGCGCTCCTATAACATTGAGCCACTTCGGGGAGGAGGGTGGGCCAGGCATGTAATTGACAGCCAGCTCGATGGAGCTGTCAATTCCATGTAAACTAAAGAAAGAGATCGCATACCAGCTAGCAAGGCCTCGCGTGCCAGGGATTGCCGACCTTTAGTGTATGGTGTACAGACATTGTGTGTGTATGGTTTACAAACATTGTGCAAGATCAGTGCAGCTAGTGTAATGACCTGAATTCTGTCTTTATACTGGGATACCACACACCAGTTGAAATCATCCTTGTGATGCTAGTCTCTGCTCTATAGAAGTATGGTTGGGAGGAGAGCTACTAGGATCAGCTTACAAGAGGGAGAGTGGTCAGTGCGTTGTCAGCCTGCTTATTTGCAGTTCACAGAGTAAGTTAGACACAGGGCAGTGACATGTTTACTCTTAGGTCGGTTCACACCTAGATAGCATCAGTTTTGCATGTTTGTATGTGCGTGTTCATAGTGCGGTTATTTGCGCGTTTATGCGCTTTGTGCGCATTCTTATACACATTTGTACGCACTACATGAAGATGTGCATTTTGACTGGCGGTTTAAGAAACATTACGGGCAATGGACGAACGTGCGTACAAACGTGCAAAAAACGCACACGAAAAAGTGCAACATGCTTCTGCCGCGCATTTTCAGACATTTCAATTGATGTCTATGGGGCGAAAACACGCTGTTAACTGCCAAAGAAGCTCATGTACCTTTCCGGGCGTTTGGCGTTTTACTGCTGACGTGTGAACAGGTGCTCAGGTGTGAACAGGGGCCATTGAAAATGATGAGGTTTCTTGTGTTGGGCGTTTAAAAGCGTTTTTCCAACTGCCCAAAAACACCTAGGTGTGAACGAAGCCTTAGACGGAAGAGCTGGCAAGAGGCAGTGCAGAGTCACACAGTCTATAAAATAGCAGGCTTTTATGAGCTTGTTACCTAAAGCTGGCCGTACACATACATAGGAAAAATCTCAGAACATTCGATAAAACCATCAGAGTGTCATTCAAAATTGAAATTGATTTTAAAGGAGAACTATGGGGTCAGGGTTTTTCCCCATAGTTCTCCTAAGGGTAACGGGAGGACACAAACTAGCGTCCTCCCGTCACCCAAAGCTCAGTATACCGCGAGCTACAGCTACAGTGAAAAGAGAATAGAATCTTCAGCTTTGTTACCTGAGCTTGTAACACCACCTAGGGTTGGTCTTTTGTATTACCACGCTTCTCCAAACTGGAACTTGTGAAGAGGAGGAGCAAGAAGCGTGTTAAGTCTGTTGAACAACTTGCAGTATTGAGGAAAATGAAACTGCTCTTACTATAAAAGCTTCCGCTCACAGTCAGCTGTCTACTCCTTCTAATATCTGCAGACTGAGACTCGACGTACTCACCCCCAGGATCTCCAACAGAGTTGTGTTATCTTACAAGCCATCAAATCCTTCAGGTATGCAGAGTACACATTCATTTATATATGTCATATAGAATGATAGCATTTAGTATTATAACGCGGTGCTTGGGACCACGCACAAAGTGAGGGCAAATAACACCTGTGGGTGCACAGATGGCAATAAGGGCCTGAAAGAGGTTCTAACCCTTGCTGCCATTCAAAGTAAAATGCTTGGCTGGAGTTACACTTAAGCACCTTGGTCACAAGTCACTGTACAATATACAGGGATATTCACAAAAGGGTGAAGAGTTTGGAGAAGGCAGGAGAAGTGAACAATCTAGGACAACATAGCCGACTCCAATTCAGCTCACTTTCCAGTTCAGCTATGTTGTCCTAGGTTTTCACTTCTCCGGCCTTCTCCAAACTATTCACCCTTTTGTGAATAACCCTGATAGTTTTGGCATAGGTGTATGAAGGCATACAGTATTTTTTATGGGTTTTATGGTGTTATGGGATAAAGGTGCAGTGGCGTAGTGAGGGGGGACGGAGGGGGGCACTTGCCCCCAGGCGCCAGGCTGAGGGGGCGCTACTGCAGGGTTGTAAAATTTGTATCACCCAACACCCAGGACATGTAGTTCCGGGCGTCGTTAGGGTAGTTTTTTTCCACATTTAGCCCTGCTTTCAGGCAAGCAAGGCTAAATGCAGTGCAGTGGAGCCGTTTTGTACAAGTGATCTTAGGCGGCTGTTCAGCCGCTCAAGGTCACTTGTAAAACAGCCTGTTTGTCACTCCCACCCCCGCCCTTCCTCACCCTTCCATAGTCCGTCTGTCCCCGATGCGACCCCTGCCAGCTGCCTCCCTCACCGATGTGGTTTTCAGGGTCCCCCACTCTTCTATTCTGTGCTGGAACTCCTGTATTTGTGGTTACAGTTTCCATAAAGAGAACCTGTCACCTCCAAATGCTATCACAAAGGGGATTGTTAGCTTCTGGGTGATAGCAATAAAGTTAAGTGAAAAAAGTAAATAAATAAAAGTGAAAAACATTTGATAAAAAGTAACAAATAATAACATTAATAAAAATGATGAATAATAATGAATGAATGCGCACAGCCCACTTGAGAACCATGCAGCCCACCTGAGACCCCCACTGGCCACCTGGGACTCCACACAGCCCCCTGAGACCCTGCACAGCCCACCTGAGACCCAGCACAGACCTCCACAGCCCACTTGAGAACCCACAGCCCACCTGAGACTCTGCACAGCTCACCTGAGACTCCGCACAGCCATCCTGAGACTTCCCACAGCCCGCATGAGAACCCACACAACCTTCCTGAGACTCTGCATAGCCCTCCATAGACCCTAGAGACATCATGCCACCACCCTGGAGCAACGCAGAGTATGTAGCTTCATATTATTCTGCATTGCTGTATAATGTATTGCTGGGATTTGTAGCCCTCTATAGTCGGTGGTATTCTGCATTGCTGTATAATGCATTGCTGGGATTTTTAGTCCTCTATAGCTGGTGGTATTGCTGCATGGCGAGTCTCCATGGTGGATTAGTGTCTTTAGACCCACTTCTGTGCTCTCTTCTTTTGGTGCGGCGGCACCCCTCCTGATCTACCACAAAGGTAAGGCTTGAAATCACTTCATTCAAGTCTCTTCTCCATGACAGATTAGAAGGGGCACTACAGGGTTTGGTTTGTATGGGGGGTGGAGGTGGGGTGCTAATGAAAGACTTGCCCCGAGGTGCGCCATGACCTTGCTACGCCTCTGTAAGCTCTCGTTCACACCTGAACGTTTTGTAGCGCGTTCTACGCTCGACGAACGCTCTACAAAACGCTCAAAAATATAAATCCCATTGTATTCAATGGTCTCCTTCCCACCTTGGCGTATTTCCACCCGTCCCTAACGCGCTACAAAACGGTCCACGCCTGAAAAGGTACATGTACTACTTTGGGCCGTTTTTGTTGCGCGTTTCCATTGGGATACAGCCAAGTAGCCTTCGGAAACGCGCGACAGTCACGCGACTTTTTTACCGCGCATCGTGGTAAAAAAACCGCGCGACAGACGCGCATATGCAATACGCCTAGGTGTGAACGAGACCTAAAGGTGAACGGAATAGATAGGGGATAGATAGATAGATGGATGGATGGATGGATAGATAGATAGATAGATAGATAGATAGATAGATAGATAGATAGATAGATAGATAGATAGATAGATAGATAGATAGATAGATAGATAGATAAGATAGATAGATAGATAGATAGATAAGATAGATAAGATAGATAGATAGATAATGTTGGACAATTGTGCTCCCACCCCAATAAAAACTAAATATTGGCACTCTTCTCCGCTGTCCAATGCTCTTCGTATGTGGGTGGGCACTCAGCGTCCTCCTGCTATTCATGCATTGTACGTAATGATGTCAGAGAGCTGTGACTGGAGCAGCTGGCAAGAGATGCAACTGTGAGGCTCTCAAAGGCTCCCTCCCCGCACAACTACAAGGAAGCCTGTGGGAACGAGGAATGAGGTATACAGTAACTGCTCATTCCTATCCCCCTAGATTAAATATGCATTGAAAGCTGCACTCCGGGATAATCAACTATTGTCTAAACACAAGCGGCTTGTGAATTTTTACTTATATCTCAATGTGCTTTGTGTATAGCTTCAAGATCTGTGCAGTAATCCATTATGAAACTTTAACTCTGTATAGGAGCTTCCTGTAATACAAACCAGTCCCTTTGTAATACAAACCAGTATATGGTACAGTTCATATAAGCTTTGCACTTTCATCTGCCTTCCCTTAAATAGCGAGGACAACCTGCCCTTTCATTGCTCATTACATTTAAACCCCCTAATATCACTGGTCTAAATAC